TGTCTTCGGAGTCGGAGAGCATCCCGATATCTGAGCACTGATATTGTCTTCAGAGTCGGAGAGCATCCCGATATCTGAGCACTGATATTGTCTTCAGAGTCGGAGAGCATCCCGATATCTGAGCACTGATATTGTCTTCAGAGTCGTAGAGCATCCAGATATATGAGCACTGATATTGTCTTCAGAGTCGAGAGCATCCCGATATGTGAGCACTGATATTGTCTTCAGAGTCGGAGAGCATCCCGATATCTGAGCACTGATATCATCTTCAGAGTCGGAGAGCATCCCGATATCTGAGCACTGATATTGTCTTCAGAGTCGGAGAGCATCCCGATATCTGAGCACTGATATTGTCTTCAGAGTCGGAGAGCATCCCGATATCTGAGCACTGATATTGTCTTCAGAGTCGGAGAGCATCCCGATATCTGAGCACTGATATTGTCTTCAGAGTCGGAAAGCATCCCGATATCTGAGCACTGATATTGTCTTCAGAGTCGGAGAGCATCCCGATATCTGAGCACTGATATTGTCTTCAGAGTCGAGAGCATCCCGATATCTGAGCACTGATATTGTCTTCAGAGTCGGAGTGGAGCCCGATATCTGAGCACTGATATTGTCTTCATAGTCGGAGAGCATCCCGATATCTGAGCACTGATATTGTCTTCAGAGTCGGAGAGCATCCCGATATCTGAGCACTGATATTGTCTTCAGAGTCGGAGAGCATCCCGATATCTGAGCACTGATATTGTCTTCAGAGTCGGAGAGCATCCCGATATCTGAGCACTGATATTGTCTTCAGAGTCGGAGAGCATCCCGATATCTGAGCACTGATATTGTCTTCAGAGTCGGAGAGCATCCCGATATCTGAGCACTGATATTGTCTTCAGAGTCGGAGAGCATCCCGATATCTGAGCACTGATATTGTCTTCAGAGTCGGAGAGCATCCCGATATCTGAGCACTGATATTGTCTTCAGAGTCGGAGAGCATCCCGATATCTGAGCACTGATATTGTCTTCAGAGTCGGAAAGCATCCCGATATCTGAGCACTGATATTGTCTTCAGAGTCGGAGAGCATCCCGATATCCGAGCACTGATCTTGTCTTCAGAGTGGGAGAGCATCCCGATATCTGAGCACTGATATTGTCTTCAGAGTGGGAGAGCATCCCGATATCTGAGCACTGATATTGTCTTCAGAGTCGGAGAGCATCCCGATATCTGAGCACTGATATTGTCTTCAGAGTCGGAGAGCATCCCGATATCTGAGCACTGATATTGTCTTCAGAGTCGGAGAGCATCCCGATATCTGAGCACTGATATTGTCTTCAGAGTCGGAGAGCATCCCGATATCTGAGCACTGATATTGTCTTCAGAGTCGGAGAGCATCCCGATATCTGAGCACTGATATTGTCTTCAGAGTCGGAGAGCATCCCGATATCTGAGCACTGATATTGTCTTCAGAGTCGGAGATCCCGATATCTGAGCATCCCGATATCTGAGCACTGATATTGTCTTCAGAGTCGGAGAGCATCCCGATATCTGAGCACTGATATTGTCTTCAGAGTCGGAGAGCATCCCGATATCTGAGCACTGATATTGTCTTCAGAGTCGGAGAGCATCCCGATATCTGAGCACTGATATTGTCTTCAGAGTCGGAGAGCATCCCGATATCTGAGCACTGATATTGTCTTCAGAGTCGGAGAGCATCCCGATATCTGAGCACTGATATTGTCTTCAGAGTCGGAGAGCATCCCGATATCTGAGCACTGATATTGTCTTCAGAGTCGGAGAGCATCCCGATATCTGAGCACTGATATTGTCTTCAGAGTCGGAGAGCATCCCGATATCTGAGCACTGATATTGTCTTCAGAGTCGGAGAGCATCCCGATATCTGAGCACTGATATTGTCTTCAGAGTCGGAGAGCATCCCGATATCTGAGCACTGATATTGTCTTCAGAGTCGGAGAGCATCCTGATATCTGAGCACTGATATTGTCTTCAGAGTCGGAGAGCATCCCGATATCTGAGCACTGATATTGTCTTCAGAGTCGGAGAGCATCCCGATATCTGAGCACTGATATTGTCTTCAGAGTCGAGAGCATCCCGATATCTGAGCACTGATATTGTCTTCAGAGTCGGAGAGCATCCCGATATCTGAGCACTGATATTGTCTTCAGAGTCGGAGAGCATCCCGATATCTGAGCACTGATATTGTCTTCAGAGTCGAGAGCATCCCGATATCTGAGCACTGATATTGTCTTCAGAGTCGGAGAGCATCCCGATATCTGAGCACTGATATTGTCTTCAGAGTCGGAGAGCATCCCGATATCTGAGCACTGATATTGTCTTCAGAGTCGGAGAGCATCCCGATATCTGAGCACTGATATTGTCTTCAGAGTCGGAGAGCATCCCGATATCTGAGCACTGATATTGTCTTCAGAGTCGGAGAGCATCCCGATATCTGAGCACTGATATTGTCTTCAGAGTCGGAGAGCATCCCGATATCTGAGCACTGATATTGTCTTCAGAGTCGGAGAGCATCCCGATATCTGAGCACTGATATTGTCTTCAGAGTCGGAGAGCATCCCGATATCTGAGCACTGATATTGTCTTCAGAGTCGAGAGCATCCCGATATCTGAGCACTGATATTGTCTTCAGAGTCGGAGAGCATCCCGATATCTGAGCACTGATATTGTCTTCAGAGTCGGAGAGCATCCCGATATCTGAGCACTGATATTGTCTTCAGAGTCGGAGAGCATCCCGATATCTGAGCACTGATATTGTCTTCAGAGTCGAGAGCATCCCGATATCTGAGCACTGATATTGTCTTCAGAGTCGGAGAGCATCCCGATATCTGAGCACTGATATTGTCTTCAGAGTCGAGAGCATCCCGGTATCTGAGCACTGATATTGTCTTCAGAGTCGGAGAGCATCCCGATATCTGAGCACTGATATTGTCTTCAGAGTCGGAGAGCATCCCGATATCTGAGCACTGATATTGTCTTCAGAGTCGAGAGCATCCGGATATCTGAGCACTGATATTGTCTTCAGAGTCGGAGAGCATCCCGATATGTGAGCACTGATATTGTCTTCAGAGTCGGAGAGCATCCCGATATCTGAGCACTGATATTGTTTTTAGAGTCGGAAAGCATCCCGATATCTGAGCACTGATATTGTCTTCAGAGTGGGAGAGCATCCCGATATCTGAGCACTGATGTTGTCTTCAGTTCTGAAACACCATTGACCATGAAACATTGTAAATTCCTGTCCAATGGTAAAACAAGTCACATTGATAAAGGCTCTGACACAACAATTTCATGAGCTCAATATCCCAGTGAAACAAACCAGTGCAGATGCCGACCTTCTCATTGTACAAACAGTTATTGATTGTGCTGATAATAGGCACAAAGTCATTGCTGTTGGGTCTGATGTTGATCTTCTGGTGCTCCTCATCCAATTGTGTGCTTCAGAAAGATTGTACTTCCTTAAAACTGGGAGCGGAAAGACTGCTGATTGGCTATATAACATTTCGTTGTTACGGCAAGAATTGCCGGAGAGGTTCATTTCTTGGTTGCTCTTTCTCCATGCCATGACTGGTTTTGACACTACATCAGCCTTGTACAGACAGGGAAAGAAAAAAGCTGTCATGTTGTTCACAAAACGACAGAACTTGCAACCACTTGTCAAAGCGTTCCATAATCTATTATCCACAAAGGACATAGTTGCGTTTGCAGGAGAGCAGTTCTTACTGGCATTGTATGGAGCACCAAAGTCTGGTAAATCCCTGAATGAGCACAGATATCATTGTTTCACAAGAGCCGTTTCCAACTGTCCCATTCACACACAAATGCAGTTATCTGCCTTGCCACCTACATCGGCAGTGGCGAGAGAACATTATCTGAGGGTTTATCTGCAAGTGCAGCAATGGCTTGGAAGAAGTCTTCCACCAAATGAATGGGGATGGCAAACTGTTTGTGGCCAGCTCAAGCCAATAACAACCCGTGACCCCCCAGCACCAGATACATTGATCAACGTGGTCAAATGCAATTGTAAAACAGATTGTGAGCGTATGTGTTGGTGCATAAAGGCAGGATTGAAATGTTCGCGTCTATGTGGATATTGTCACGGTAGTTGCAGCAATGCAAACACAGTATACCTTGCAGAGGAGGATGAAGAAGATTATGAACTACCAACTGATGAAACATCTCATGAATTGTCTCCCAGCGACGCTGATGAGAGTGAAGTTGAAGATGAGCCACAGCCTTCAACTTCATCCAGACTGACAAGGAAAAGAAAATTATCTCTTTAGATCTTTAATCATATGATATTTTCTTCAAATTGTGAGAATCCAAGGGCGATAACTCTTTCTAAAGCATGGAAATGGCTACTTAAATGAGTGTTTATGAAATTATAAAATTTCACTTGCTTGATTTGTGGGTGTAAAAAATCAAATTATTGCAGTTGTTGGGCCATTTATTGAGTTTTCATTGACTTCTAAAAATGCCCAAAAATTGCCAATTTTCAGTTACTGTCAAAATGGAAAAATATGATTTTATTGAGTTATATTTTGGTGGTTTGTGGTAAAAAAAGACATTGAACAATACACTTCAAGGTCTTTTGGACATATCTAAGCTTTATCATTATACCTATAGGTCTCTGTGTCACCATAGGGTAAAAAGATATAAAAATTATACTTTAAGCACAAAATAGGGCCACAACTCCGAAATGAGAAATTGTTTTTCTTTCTAAATTAATAGTCAACAATCTTGAGATATATTCAATCAGGTGTCAAACTTTTATGTTATTATGTACAGAAACAAAGAAGTTCTTCTAGGTTAGCTAAAGTATGCATGCACTATGGATTTAGCTCAAGTGGGATTTTAGGGGACTTTTAGTATGTTATGTAGGAAGGTTTGTAGAACATCTCTGCTAAGTTTTATTTCTTCATCATTGTCTCTTGACCTTTTTAATAATTTGACTGTTCTAACATTGTTTACTCAGATGTGATGACAACATTTCTACAGATGACAACACTTCCACAGATGACAGCACTTCCAAAAATGACAACACTACAGCAGAAAATAACACTACAGCAGATCACAAAACAACAGCAGATAACAACACTACAACAGATCAAACCACTACAGCAGATAACAACACTACAGCAGATAACACTACAGCAGATAACAACACTACAGCAGGTAACAACACTACAGCAGATCACAACACTACAACAAATAAAAACGAAACTGTAGTTCACAACAATGCAGCAGATAACAACACTACAGCAGATAACAACACTAAAGCAGATAACAAAACTACATCAGATCACAACACTACAGCAGATCATAACACTACAGCAAATAAAAAAACAACTGCAGATCACAACACTACAGCAGATAACAACACTACAGCAGATCAGAACACTACAGCAGATAACAAACACTAGAACTAATAAAACCCAACAGCAGATCACAACACTACAGCAGATCACAACACTACAGCAGATCACAACACTACAGCAGATCACAACACTACAGCAGATAGCAACACTACAGCAGATAACAATACTAGAGCAGATATAAACACAACAGCATATAACAACAATACAGCAGATAACAACACTACACCAGATCACAACACTACAGCAGATAGCAGGAAACAACACTACAGCAGATCACAACACTACAGCAGATAACAACACTACAGCAGATAACAACACAACAGCAGGTCAAACCACTACAGCAGATAACAACACTTCAGCAGATAACAACACTATAGCAGATAACAACACTACAGCAGATAACAATACTACAGCAGATAGCAGATAACAACACTACAGCAGCTCACAACACTACAAGCACTACAGCAGATAACAACAATACAGCAGCTCACAACACTACAGCAGATAACAACACTACCGCAGATAACACTACAGCAGATAACAACAATACAGCAGCTCACAACACTACAAGCACTACAGCAGATAACAACAATACAGCAGCTCACAACACTACAGCAGATAACAATACTAGAGCAGATATAAACACAACAGCATATAACAACAATACAGCAGATAACAACACTACACCAGATCACAACACTACAGCAGATAGCAGGAAACAACACTACAGCAGATCACAACACTACAGCAGATAACAACACTACAGCAGATAACAACACAACAGCAGGTCAAACCACTACAGCAGATAACAACACTTCAGCAGATAACAACACTACAGCAGATAACAACACAACAGCAGGTCAAACCACTACAGCAGATAACAACACTTCAGCAGATAACAACACTACAGCAGATAACAACACTACAGCAGATCACAACACTACAGCAGATAACAACACTACAGCAGATAACAACACTACAGCAGATAACAATACTACAGCAGATAGCAGATAACAACACTACGGCAGATAACAACACTACAGCAGATCACAACACTACAGCAGATCACAACACTACAGCAGATAGCAACACTACAGCAGATAGCAACACTACAGCAGATAACAACACTACAGCAGATCACAACACTACAGCAGATCACAACACTTGAATGCTTCGCTGCTATATCGGAACTACCCACCCTATTCAAACCAGACAACTCTACTTGCAAGTGCGACGCAGCAGCAGGAAATGCGTTCTCTGGGAAAACAAAGGTATACCCTACACACACTCGAGGTTCCAGAAGAAATTGCGATCCCCTACTGTATCTCCACTTTGGAGAACCTGTACAACTGCATCCTCTGGGAGGGTCCAAGTGGGTATAGCTTCTATCTAGTCCAAACCCCAAACACACCCCCACACCCCCCACACACCCCCAAAAAAAACCAAAACCCTTACAATCATACATACGAAAAGACTGTATAATTTTCTAGTCCATCTAGAAAGGGTGCCCGGGTGTGGCCATGCAAACTGGTGTGGGTGTTTCTGTCGACCTGTCGGTCGACCAGTGTGTCGGCCAGTGTGTAGGACCGTGTGTCGGCCAGTGTGTCGGCCAGTGTCTCGACCAGTGTGTCGGCCAGTGTGTCGACCAGTGTGTCGGCCAGTGAGTCGACCTGTCTGTCGGCCAGTGTGTCGGCCAATGCGTTGGCCAGTGTGTTGGCCAGTGTGTCAATCAGTGTGTCGGGCAGTGTGTCGACCTGTCTCTCGGCTAGTGTGTCGGCCAGTGTCTCGACCAGTGTCTCGACCAGTGTCTCGACCAGTGTGTCGGCCAGTGTGTCGACCTGTCTGTCGGGCAGTGTGTCGACCAATGCGTCGGCCAGTGTGTTGGCCAGTGTGTCAATCAGTGTGTCGGCCAGTGTGTCGGCCAGTGTGTCGACCAGTGTGTCGGCCACTGTGTCGACCTGTCTCTCGGGCAGTGTGTCGGCAAGTGTGTCAACCACTGTGTCGGCCAGTGTGTCGGCCAGTGGGTCGATCAGTGTGTCGGCCAATGGGTCGGCCAGTGTGTCGGCCAGTGTGTTGACCAGTGTGTTGGCCAGTGTGTTGGACGGTGTGTCAACCAGTGTGTCTATCAATGTGTCTACCAGGTGTCTGCCAATGTGTCTACCAGTGTGTCGACCAATGTGTCTACCAGTGTGTCTACCAGTGTGCCGGCCAGTGGGTCTGCTAATGTGTCGGCCAGTGTGTCGACCAGTGTGTCGGCCACTGTGTCGACCAATGTGTCTACCAGTGTGTCGGCCAATGTGTCTGCCAGTGTTTCGGCCAGGGTGTCGACCAATGTGTCTACCAGTGTGTCGACCAATGTGTGTACCAGTATGTCGGCCAGTGTGTCGACCAATGTGTCTACCAGTGTGTCGGCCAATGTGTCTACCAGTGTGTCTACCAATGTGTCGACCAATGTGTGTACTAATGTGTCTACCAGTGTGTCGACCAATCTGTCTACCAGTGTGTCGGCCAGTGTGTCGACCAATGTGTCTACAAGTGTGTCTTCCAATGTGTCTACCAGTGTGTCGACCAATCTGTCTACCAGTGTGTCGGCCAGTGTGTCGACCAATGTGTCTACCAATGTGTCTACAAGTGTGTCTGCCAATGTGTCTACCAGTGTGTCTACCAATGTGTCGACCAATGTGTGTACCAATCTGTGTACCAATGTGTCTACCAGTCTGTCGACCAATGTGTCTACCAATGTGTCTACCAGTGTGTCTACCAGTGTGCCGGCCAGTGTGTCGACCAGTGTGTCGGCCACTGTGTCGACCAATGTGTCTACCAGTGTGTCGGCCAATGTGTCTGCCAGTGTGTCGGCCAGTGTGTCGACCAATGTGTCTACCAGTGTGTCGACCAATGTGTCTGCCAGTGTGTCGGCCAGTGTGTCGACCAATGTGTCTACCAGTGTGTCGACCAATGTGTCTACCAGTGTGTCGGCCAGTGTGTCGACCAATGTGTCTACCAGTGTGTCGGCCAATGTGTCGGCCAGTGTGTCGGCCAGTGTGCAGTGCTTCTAGGTCACCACAAAACCTTCCATAGAAACACGGCGGCTAGCGAAAGGTAGGTCCACTTTTTGGCCGATTCTAGCATTTGCCCCACCTAGTTGATATCTAGACGGGTCTCTTCTTGTTCCTCCTCTACGCTTTCTATTTCTTCGTCTTCGTCGTTGTCCAGCCTAGACAAGATGTCGACCAACAAAGTCGTGGTTTGCTCCACACGGGTAATACGGTTGTGGTGGTGGGTTCTCGCCATACCTTGTAGAGCCTTGTGGAACCAATACCAAAGCGCTTTTTTACCTCGTTTGCCGGAAGCACACTGCGAAGGACGTGGATTTCTTGAATCTGGTCTGGAGACAAATCTCTTTCGGGTGGCATGGTGGTTATTCCTGGGTATATATACACGATACTTCCCATATATCTATATGAAAACCCCATCCTCTCCCGATTATCACCTAATGCTCTATTGTTTTTCCAAACACAGTCTTTGCGATGCGGAACGAAGATGTCGTCAACGAATGTAGGTAGTCCTTCCAAAGGTTCTAGGTCCGTTCTTCCAAGATTGTCTGCCAGATAATTGACTTTTACGAGGTTGCTTTCCCGTGTTTTCCAGTAGTAGATGTGGTCCGATCGACATCTCGACCCGCAGGACCATTTTTAGGTTGCCTTTTGTGGAACATTTGTATACTACTCGTAGTGCTATACTTTTATACAGCAAAGTCATACCAAGGTTGGTAGTCCTGACGAAGGGTTAACCCTGTGACTTTAATCACAGAGAGCATCGTGACTTTAATCACAGGGAGCATCGGGACTTCAATCATAGGGAGCATCGGGACTTTAATCACAGAGAGCATCATGACTTTATTCGTAGGGAGCATCGTGACTTTAATCACAGAGATTTTAGTGACTTTAAACACAGAGATTTTAGTGACTTTTATCACAGAGAGCATCGTGACTTTAATCATAGGGAGCATCGTGACTTTAATCACAGGGAGCATCAAGACTTTAATCAAAGGGAGCATCATGACTTTAATCATAGGGAGCATCGTGACTTTAGTCACAGGGAGCATTTTGACTTTAATCATAGGGAGAATCGTGACTTTAATCACAGAGATTTTAGTGACTTTAAACACAGAGATTTTAGTGACTTTAATCACAGAGAGCATCTTGACTTTAATCATAGGGAGCATCGTGACTTTAATCACAGGGAGCATCAAGACTTTAATCAAAGGGAGGATCGTGACTTTAATCACAGGGAGCATATTGACTTTAATCATAGGGAGCATCGTGACCCTAATCATAGGGAGGATCGTGACTTTAGTCACAGGGAGCATATTGACTTTAATCATAGGGAGCATCGTGACTTTAATCACAGGGAGCATCTTGACTTTAATAACAGGGAGCATCGTGACTTTAATCACAGGGAGCATCGTGACATTAGTCACAGGGAGAATATTGATTGATATCATAGGGAGCATCGTGACTTTAATCATAGGGAGCATCATGACTTTAATCATAGGGAGGATCGTGACTTTAGTCGCAGGGATCATATTGACTTTAATCATAGGGAGCATCGTGACTTTCGTCACAGGGAGCTTCGTGACTTTCGTCACAGCGAGCATGGCAAATTTAATCACAGGGAGCATCGTGACTTTAATCACAGGGAGCAACGTGACTTTAATCACAGGGAGGACCGTGATTTTAATCACAGAGAGGATCGTGACTTTAATCACAGGGAGGACCGTGTTCTTAATCACAGGGAGAAACGTGACTTTAATCATAGGGAGCATTATCACTTTAATCACAGGGAGCATCGTGACTTTAATCACAGAGATTTTAGTGACTTTAAACACAGAGATTTTAGTGACTTTTATCACAGAGAGCATCGTGACTTTAATCATAGGGAGCATCGTGACTTTAATCACAGGGAGCATCAAGACTTTAATCAAAGGGAGCATCATGACTTTAATCATAGGGAGCATCGTGACTTTAGTCACAGGGAGCATTTTGACTTTAATCATAGGGAGAATCGTGACTTTAATCACAGAGATTTTAGTGACTTTAAACACAGAGATTTTAGTGACTTTAATCACAGAGAGCATCTTGACTTTAATCATAGGGAGCATCGTGACTTTAATCACAGGGAGCATCAAGACTTTAATCAAAGGGAGGATCGTGACTTTAATCACAGGGAGCATATTGACTTTAATCATAGGGAGCATCGTGACCCTAATCATAGGGAGGATCGTGACTTTAGTCACAGGGAGCATATTGACTTTCATCATAGGGAGCATCGTGACTTTAATCACAGGGAGCATCTTGACTTTAATAACAGGGAGCATCGTGACTTTAATCACAGGGAGCATCGTGACATTAGTCACAGGGAGAATATTGATTGATATCATAGGGAGCATCGTGACTTTAATCATAGGGAGCATCATGACTTTAATCATAGGGAGGATCGTGACTTTAGTCGCAGGGATCATATTGACTTTAATCATAGGGAGCATCATGACTTTAATCACAGGGAGCATCGTGACTTTAATAACAGGGAGCATCGTGACTTTAATCATAGGGAGGATCGTGACTTTAGTCACAGGGAGCTTATTGACTTTAATCACAGGGAGCATCGTGACTTTAATCATAGAAAGGATCGTGAATTTAATCACAGGGAGCATCGTGACATTAGTCACAGGGAGAGTATTTATTTATATCATAGGGAGCATCGTGACTTTAATCATAGGGAACATCATGACTTTAATCATATGGAGGATAGTGACTTTAGTCGCAGGGAACATATTGACTTTAATCATAGGGAGCATCGTGAATTTCGTCACAGTGAGCTTCGTGACTTTAATCACAGGGAGCATCGTGACTTAAATCATAGGGAGCATCCGGACGTTAATCATAGGGAGCATCGTCACTATAACCATAGGGAGCATCGTGACTTTAATCACAGAGAGCATCGTGACTTTCATCACAGAGAGCATCGTGACATTAATCACAGGGAGGATCGTGACTTTAACCATAGGGAGCATCATAATCTTAATCACAGAGAGGATCGTGAATTTAATCACAGGGAGCATCGTGACATTAGTCACAGGGAGAGTTTTGATTTATATCATAGGGAGCATCGTGACTTTAATCAAAGGGAGCATCATGACTTTAATCATAGGGAGGATCGTGACTTTAGTCGCAGGGAACATATTGACTTTAATCATAGGGAGCATCGTGAATTTCGTCACAGGGAGCTTCGTGACTTTAGTCGTAGAGAGCATAGTGACTTTAATCACAGAATGCATCATGACTTTCGTAACAGGGATTACGGTGACTTTAATCACAGGGAGTATCGTGACTTTAATCACAGAGAGCAACGTGTCTTTAATCACAGGGAGGACCGTGATCTTAATCACAGAGAGGATCGTGACTTTAATCACAGGGAGGACCGTGTTCTTAATCACAGGGAGCATCTTGACTATAATCACAGGGAGCTTCGTGACTTTAGTCGTAGAGAGCATCGTGACTTTAATCACAGGAAGCACCGTGATCTTAATCAGAGGGAGGATCGTGACTTTAGTCACAGGGAGCTTATTGACTTTAATCACAGGGAGCATCGTGACTTTAATCACAGAGAGGATCGTGAATTTAATCACAGGGAGCATCGTGACATTAGTCACAGGGAGAGTTTTGATTTATATCATAGGGAGCATCGTGACTTTAATCAAAGGGAGCATCATGACTTTAATCATAGGGAGGATCGTGACTTTAGTCGCAGGGAACATATTGACTTTAATCATAGGGAGCATCGTGAATTTCGTCACAGGGAGCTTCGTGACTTTAGTCGTAGAGAGCATAGTGACTTTAATCACAGAATGCATCATGACTTTCGTAACAGGGATTACGGTGACTTTAATCACAGAGAGTATCGTGACTTTAATCACAGAGAGCAACGTGTCTTTAATCACAGGGAGGACCGTGATCTTAATCACAGAGAGGATCGTGACTTTAATCACAGGGAGGCCCGTGTTCTTAATCACAGGGAGCATCTTGACTATAATCACAGGGAGCTTCGTGACTTTAGTCGTAGAGAGCATCGTGACTTTAATCACAGGGAGCATCGTGAATTTAAAAACAGAGAGCATCGTGACTTTAATCACAGGGAAGACCGTGATCTTAATCACAGAGATGATCGTGACTTTAGTCACAGGGAGGATCGTGACTTTAATCACAGGGAGCATCGTGTCTTTAATCACATGGAGCATGGCGACTTTAATTACAGGGATTACGGTGACTTGAATCACAGGGAGCATCGTGACTTTAATCATAGGGAGCATCGTCACTATAATCATAGGGAGCATCGTGACTTTCATCACAGAGAGCATCGTGACATTAATCACAGGGAGGATCGTGACTTTAATCATAGGGAGCATCCTAATCTTAATCATAGGGAGGATCGTGACTTTAATCTCAGGGAGCATCATTGACTTTAATCACAGAGATCATCGTGACTTCAATTATAGGGAGCATCATAATCTTAATCATAGGGAGGATCGTGACTTTAATCATAGGGAGAACCGTGATCGTGATCATAGGGAGCATCGTGACTTTAATCACATTGAGCATCGTGACTTTAATCACAGGTAGCATCATGACTTTAATCATAGGGAGGATCGTGACTTTAGTCAGAGAGAGCATCGTGACTTTAATCTCAGGGAGGACCGTGATCTTAATCACAGCGAGCAACGTGACTTTAATCATAGGGAGCATTATCACTTTAATCACAGGGAGCATCGTGACTTTAATCATAGAGTTTATCGTGACTTTAATCACAGGGAGCATCGTGACTTTCATCAGAGGGAGCTTTGTGACTTTAGTCGTAGAGAGAATCTTGATTTTAATCACAGAATGCATCATGACTTCGTCACAGGGAGCATGGCAAATTTAATCACAGGGAGCATCGTGACTTTAATCACATGGAGCATGGCGACTTTAATTACAGGGATTACCGTGACTTTAGTCAC